CGGGGGCGTTCGTGCGGCTTCTGACCCGCCCAGGCCCGGCCGGGATTCGTCCGGTTGCCAGCGGGACGAGAGGAGGTGGGGGCCAGTACGCAGTTCGCGAGAGCGCTGCCCTCCTAGTTCTACACGGTCGAGGTAAACTGAGGCCGCCCCGGTCGGAGGTGGGGGAGTGACGGGTTAACTAAAGACCGGCACACCCGACTGCTCCTTCCTGTTTTACCGACTGTTCCCCGTGGTACCGGTTGTGAGGCTGGACCGCACACCTGACCTGCACAACCTGTCTTTCACCGGGGTTTCCCGAGCCATTTCTGAAAAACCCCCCAATTCCTACGAAGTCCGGTGGTCTCTGGGCACCACCACAGTATTGCAACTTTAACGGGACCAGGAGTTCCGCAGATGCTAAAACAAAGCTGGGGACCTTCGTCTGGTTCTGGCTCCAACCCTTCCAAAGCGGTGATCTGAGACAAGGCATTCTTTGCAACAACTCAGTGTCCTTGTCTGTAGATGGAAGAGGATGAAGTTTTTGCATTTCATATCCCTGAAATGTTTGTAAAGCTTTTTACAGTATTGTAGAGAGGATTATCAAATCTAAGAGGTTTTGAACCGCTTAACAATACACAGGATATTGAGCAGGAATCAAGAGAACTGATTGGCTAATGTTTCACAGTCCAAGTTCCAATCTTGTTCTGAAGGTAGAAATTAAGTTACCATTTTTAGATAGATTGGTAAAGTTATTTCTAGAATGCTGCCGAGATTTGCAGCAGAAAAACCAGATAAGGACTGGAGAGAGGACTCTGGATAAGAACAGAGTTCTAAGGAGTACCTGGGTTGATTCGCCCCATCTGCATGGCTATTCACGACTGTCCGTAAGTCTGGGAATCCGACGCCCTCTTCTGGCCGTAGGCACCAGGCACGAGCATGGTGTACAGACATACATGCAGGCAAAACATAAAATAAAATGAAAATGTAAGAAAAATGGGGAAACCCGTGGCTACTGTATGTGCAGTGACAGAAAAATGACAACTGAACAAGTTTCAGGGGACATGGGACTCCAGACACCATCCAAATCTGTTTTGAGAAATGCACTTCTTATAGTCAATAAATGAAAAAGTGAAATTAACACCTTACCAGAAAAGGGAGTATATGCATTTTCTTGTATTCCACACACAAAGGGCGCTTATTCGGGGGCCATAAGGACAGCCCAGACTTGCCTGCTCCAGGGACAGAGCCTGTGTGTGTGCGGCCTGCAAAGGAAGACGTGGAGGAACAGTTCTGTCTTTCAGAGCCTCTTGGCACTTGTTTTGGTGGGCACATATTTTGGCTTCGATGACTCAAAATCTCTTCAAATGTTCTATTGGTGTCTTAGTACTTGTTTACTGTCATGGATTTGTGTTGGTCATGTAGTCAAACCCACCCTTACCCGCTCTGAGACTGGGCCATTGTGGAGCATTCATGGATTGAGAGCCGTCCACCAGACCGTCCCCAGAACAGTCAGGTAAACTTGAAGGGTGGGCTTGTGTGGTGGGAAAGCAGCCCTTCACGTTCAGGGTCAGAAAGGGAGCACTGCTCCTTTCTGTAGCATGAAATGTATTTGTTCTTATTTATGCCTATCCCATAGAGAATTTGAATCAGTGCACACAACATATTTATTTTTACACAAGATAAAAATAAGTGAGAGGAAACTGCGTGAAATTTGAAAGGGGGGAAACAGGAAACCAGAACAATGCAACCTAAAAAAAAAAAGACCAGCAGATTTGATTGTGCTTTTTGTTTGTTTGTTTTTGAGATAAAGATGAACGAGTTGATCAAGAGAGGCCTATCTTTCCCTGATGCAAAGACCTCAGAAAAGTTTCCCCCCTGAGCCTTCACAAACTGGACACTCCGAATACCCAGTCTGAGACGAGGATAAATATCCTGTGACAGCCTTTAAGAGTATTATTCTTGAAACACAATATTTAAAATGAATTAGGCAATAAAAAGTTTGAAGTCACAAGTGAAGGTATTTTATGTTGCCAGTAATGGCAGCTCCATATGCTTTGACCATCAACTGCCAAGCGGATAGCATGGAAAGCCAAGATCCTGTGTGATGGTTAAAAATAGTGTCTGCAATAATCATTATTTTACTTGTACCACAGATGATGCAAACAGGAAAACATTCACTTTATACTAACTCCAAAAGAATTTTGAAGATATTTTTTCAAAATTAGCTGAGTTAATAAGATCAGGTTGTTTGGTAAAGAAATTTAAATTTAATTTACTGTAAACAAACTGAATAGGTTTAGTTTGTATACTAAAAATATTACACATATAATTTCAAGGTTGAAAGTTATATAATAGTAAATCATTGTAGCTAACATTGAAAGAACTCTTACAAATTGCTCAGTTTTATATGACAAGATATGGAATAAGAAGAAACTTGACTAAATAGGTAATCTCATCCAAAATTAGTAATACATATGTGTGTACTTTAAGGTGTGTTATGTATATAAATATATATTTATACATATATATAGTACTACATGTATTACTTTAAGGTGCGTTAATTTTTGTTTATGTTGCATTTGTTTAACTCTGTGAAGCTGTGATTCTTTGCCTGTATAAACACCTGATTGTCTTAATAAAGCGCTGAACGGCCGGCCAATAGCAAGGCAGGAGCAAGGATGGGGGAGGGGCAGGCAGAGAGAGTAAATAGAAGGAGAGCTGAGGAAAAAGAGGAGCAAGAGAGAGCAGAGGGAGGAAGACGTCAGGACCCAGCCCGCTACAGAGTAAGAGTGAAAGTAAGACACACAGGAGGAAGAAAGGGGAAAATCCCAGAGGGAAAAGGTGGCTGGAATAATTTAAGAAAAGCTGACAAGAAACAAACCAAACTAATGGTGAACATTTATAATTAAGAATAAGCCTCCATGTGTGATTTATTTGGGAGTTGGGTGGTTGCTCCCCCACCAAAGGCCAAAAGAGTAAAACATCACACAACATACACACACAGAGACACGTAGATGTATAGTTCATACTTGACATACAATGTTTTCTAGTTTTAAAAATTTTATTTTTGGTACAATTTATTTATTGGGGGAGCAGTGCTAATGTTGGGGGGGGGGTGGCAGACAGCTTATGGGAGTCAATTCTGTCTTTCTACCCTGTAGATCAAACTCAGGCCTGAGGCCAGAGCCTGGACAGGCTGAGCTGTCTCGCTGACTCTGGTTTCCGACTTTTTGCTCTGTTCTGTATACAGACTATGGTGGTTTACTGTGTGCTTGTAATATTTTCCCCTCTTTTAATCTTGTTCAGTAAAGTGGTAGTTGTTATTGGTGATCTCTAAAGTCAACTCTAATTTTAGCCAAGACTAAATGACAAGAAAATCAAGGCCTTGGAATTTTTTATTTTTTACATAGCCAAGGTTCAAATTTATTATCCAAGCAAAACTGGCTAATTAAAATCTTAAAATTAGGTTGCTAAATGTGGTGGCGCATACCTTTAATCTGAGCACTCAGGAGGTAGAGGCAGGTGGATCTTTGTTAGTTCCAAAGTCAGCCTGGTCTACATCGTGAGTTCAGGCCAGCCAGGGCTAGACAATCTCTAGAACATACGGATTTTAGCAATATAATATCTCAATCTATCTCTCCCTTGCTCCACCCTCAGCTGCTTGAGACAGGGTTTCTTGTGTAGTCATGACTGGCCTGGTACTCACAGAGGACCAGCTGCCTCTGCTTCCCGAGCGCTGGGATTAAAGGCGTGCGCAGCTGCAGTATGATCTCTTACTACATCTTTCTATATAAATTGGTTATACAGTGTGTTTTTATATGATTAAGCAAACAGCTCCTTAGATTTTTAAATATCAATCAGTTGTCCGAAGACATTGTAACAATTATGAACTGAATTTCCAGATACTTGATATTAAATCATTCTTTCTTTTACTTGGTATGACCTCTGCCTGTTAGGGAGAGAACCACATTTTCAAAGTCTGGGATGATTGTTGTAGTTTGTCCTGGCTAGCAATAGAGCATGGGCTGTATTTAGAATTAAGATTGGTCATTGTGACAAAAGTTTCAGAAGACATGAAAGCAGTTCACAGGTCGTGAGCTGGACTTGATCTCAGGACATGTTAAGAAGCTGTTTCTGTTAGCTTTTCTCCAGAGGGTGCTTTTGGGGAGTATATTGGGCTAGGTAGAAGGGTTTCCTTCTGTATTTGGATCACAAATTGATCTGTCTGAAAATTCAATAGCTAAGAAAACAAAACAAATTACAAATAATCTTGTGCTGTTCCTTATTTTCATTTTATAACAGGTAAGTGTTTTGAAAGGGTACCTAAAGGGTGCCTGTATATCATATGCACTAGAGTTATGAGCAGGAGAGGCCATGCCTGGCTATGGCCATATTTTACAGCCACCCCTCCCCCTCTTTGAGACACGGTCTCTCTCTCTCTCTCTCTCTCTCTCTCTCTCTCTCTCTCTCTCCCTCCATACATACATATATATGTATGTATGTATACACACAAAATCCATACATACATACATACATACATACCCCTGGCTGTCCTGAAACTCATTATGTAGACCAGGTTGGCTTCAACCTCACAGAGACTTGCTTCCCAAGTGCTGGGTTTAAAAGTGTGCACCACCCCATCTGGCCCAGTTATTTCTCTTATAGGATTCCAGCAGTTTTGTTTCTAATCTCAGAATGTATCCTTTCTTCCTATTTTTAAAACAAGATTTTTGTTTAGTGTGTGTGTGTGTGTGTGTGTGTGTGTGTTTTATCCATATATGTGTATGTGTACCATGTACAACCCTGGTGCCCAGGGAGGCCAGAAGAGGGTTGGATCCCTGGAACTGGAGTTCCTGCCAGTTGTGACCATTTGTGTACTGGGAATTGAAACCTAGTACTTTTTTACGAGGTCAGCAAGTACTGTTAACCCCTGAGCCATTTCACTAGCCTTTCACCATGCCTTCCTAATATGCGTGTGTTGTGTGTATGTGTGAATGTTTGTATAAAATATTTGTATAAAAGTGAGACCTCCAGGTTTATCATGAAACAACTGCCACCCCCACACTCACATCAGGATCACACAAACACAACTGCAAAATTAAATAAAGCCTTGAGGCTTTCTTTGTCCCTTCCCTCACTTTCAGATCCAGCAAGCAGACTGTACAAAGTCAATAATTTAAAACTTCCAGCACAGGCCAATGGAGTCCCCAGCTCCCCTTAAATTAGCCACTGTAGAAATTCCTCCCATCGCAGACACATTGGCTGGGAACCTACTCCAGGCTCAGGTGTTCGGATGGGGTCTGTGATTGCACAGTCACCCTCACATTCCTGAACTCCAGGGCCCTGGGGAAGGTGGCTGCTTGGAAGAAGTTATGTTAACAAATAAATTAAGCAATAAATAACCTCTAATTTTAGTGGAATTACTTTGAGTTTCTCTCCATTTACTTTGATGTTGGTTGTTGGCTTGCTGTATATTGCCTTTATTATCTTTAGGTATGTGACTTGTATCCCTAATTTCTCCAAGACCTTTATCATGAAAGGGTGATGGATTTTGTTGAAGGCTTTTCCAGCATCTAATGAGATGATTATGTTTTTTCTTTCAGTTGTTTATATGGTGGATTACATTGACAGATATTTGTATGTTGAACCATGCTTGTGTCTCTGAGATGAAGCCTACTTGATCATGGTGAATGATTTTTCTAATGTATTCTTGGATTTGGCTTGCTAATTTTTTTTTGCTTATTTTTGCATCAATGTTCATGAGGGAGATTTGTCTGTAATTCTTTTTCTTTGTGGGGTTTGGTTTTCAGGGTAACTGTAGCCTTGTAAAAAGAGTTTGGCAATGTCACTTCTGTTTCTATTGTGTGGAACAATTTGAGGAGTATTGGTACTACCACTTATTGAAATTCTGATAGAATTCTGCTTGAAACCCAGCATATATTTTGGAGGTTTTTGATGACTTATTTCTATTTCCTTAGGAGTTATAGGTCTATTTAAATTGTTTTTCCGGTCTTGGTTTAATTTTGGTATGTGGTACCTATTCAGAAAATTGTTTATTTCCCTTAAATTTTCCAATTTTGTGGAGTATAAGTTTTTGAAGTATGACCTGATGATTCTCTGGATTTCTGGTGTCTGTTGTTATGTCCCCCTTTTCTTTTCTGATTTTGTTAATTTGGATGTTCTCTCTGCCTTTGGTTAGTTTAGATAAAGGTTTGCCTATCTTGATGATTTTTTTGAAGAACCAACTCTTTCATTGATTTTTTTTTGTATTGCTCTCTTTGTTTTTATTTTATTGATTTCAGCCCTCAATTTGATTATTTCCTGGTGCCTACTCCTCCTGGGTGAGTTTGCTTCTTTTTGTTCTAGAACTTTCACATGTGCTGTTAAGTCACAAGTGTGAGATTTCTCCAGGTTCTTTATGTAGGCACTTAATGCTATGAACTTTCCCTCTTAGCACTGCTTTCAGAGTGTCCCATAATTTTGAGTATGTTGTACATTCATTTTCATTGAATT